TTGTGTGTGAGCTGGCACTCATGTTTCTTGCCCCCAAAGAGGTGTCATTGAGGACTTTAATTCCAGGAGGCTCCATACTCCTGAAAAGATGCCTTGCGGGGATTTGAGACAAATTTTACAGTTTCTCTTAACACAGTGGTTTTATGGCATATAGGACCCCAGGGAGACTTCCCTAAAGCTGTGAGAATAAGGTGTTATTCCCCAAGTCAGATGGCAGAGGGGATTTTGCTTTAGCTGCTGGGGGTTACTAAGCTGTCATCAGAGCGCCTTGGAGCTGCATCTGAAGGAGGGGCCTCGAAGGCCACCGGGAGCGTCCCTGCCCCTGAGTACTGAAAATGAACAGCCCTTTTTTTCCTTGGCATCTGCCAGCAGGAGCAATGGCCATACTTGGCTGGGGTCATGGCCCATGATGACCTTGACTGCTGGACTGACTTCAGATCTTAACATTCTTCTGCAGGAAACATCCCTGCGTCTGTGGAGGATCCTTGGCCTCATACTTCTTGCTGAACCTGCTCCTCTGCTCAGTCTCCAAGCCGCCCGCCAGGCACCCAGTCCTCAGTCTGTGCTTGGATAGGAAGGCAGTGGTTCTGTGGCGAATTACTCCGGGGCCTTTCCCATACAGTACAGACTTCCTGGCTCCTGGCTCCAGGCCTCTTCTAGATGGTCAGCTCCCTCCTCCTTGAGGAATGCCCCTTCCCACTTCCTACCTTATAGACCTTGTTTTCCCTCAAATTGCAGACTTACCCACCAGGACACCCTGCATACTCACCACTGACTGCTTGGTCCTTTAACTGCTTCCATATGAGTTTGCACAACACCTACCGGGCACAGTTTGCTAACTTATAGGGAGCTCACACCACTGCCTTTTTACTTCCTTGGGTTCCTTTGCAGCCATGCTGCACCTGCTGTCATCTTAGTGACTTAAAGTGTTCATTTTCCTGTATAAAAACGGGCACTTGGTCTTCTGAATATAAACGTAATGTATGGACACTTCTTAATGTTATTGTACATCGGGGGCCCCCCGTGCTGTCTGAATGAATTCCCTGTCTCAGTCCCTTCCTTGGCTGTAACCACTTTGCCTGTGACAGTCATAGCCAGCATTGCTACCCACCTACAGCGCCAGGAAAATCCCAGCACTGGAGCCAATCTTGGGCCGCCACTCTCCTCCTGCTAATTATCCTGCTATCCAGCATGTGTCCTGGGAGTCTCCATGGCCTCCAGAGTGTAACTCTCCCCACTAGTGTTGGTTGGATCTCTTATGAGGAGGCCTCTTTCTGCCTTAGTCCTGAGGGTGAACCGAGGCTCCACCTACCATTCCATGTCTCCCCAGAGTGCCCAGACCACATGAGTCTGTTTTGCCCTTAGCACTGCTGTAGGCCTGTCATCCTTGGGTTCCACCAGGCCCAGCCTCTACAACCTGGTGCTGGCTCCAGGGCCCCAGCCCAGCTTCTCCCCAGGCCAGTCACGAAGTTCTGAGTATGCATGTCCTGAGCCAGCTGGATGGGCTGGCCTGTGGAGGCCTTGCTGTCCTGATGGCCTACCCTGCAGTCTCCACCCCTGCACTCCACCCTGACTCAGAGGATGGCCATATCCAGCCAGAGGGGTTCCTCTTCCCACTGCTACTGGCCAGTGGCCAGGGCAGATTTGTCCATCAGCCCCACACACATCCAGCTCCTTCTCTTACTCTTGCCACAAATTAACTTTTCTTTTTATTCCCCAAAGATCCAGCGAAAACTCCTCTGATGATAATGGTAGCAAATACTTCCTGAACTACTATGTGCGTTGAGTACTGTTCAAGCACCTTACATGTATTGCCTCACATCCTTGGGAATATGAAACATGATCTTTGTTCTACAAAGATAGGATTAAGGAATATGGCATGTGAGCGACAAGCTGAGGCACCTGGGTGCAGGCCCCACTCCATGTGACCACACTTTTCAGGAGCCACAATTTCAGGTTTCTAGGCACTTGGGCTTCCAACTGCTTGCCCAGCTTTAACTCTTATGTTTCTAGAATCTTCTTGCCATTTGTCTCCTTATTCTGGTCCTAACCCCTGTGTCTTCTCTCCTGAGCCTTGCTATCTTCTCTGTTGCCTTCAGCCTGCCGGCAGAGTGAAAGCTAAGGACTGCAGATTTGCAGGGGCTCTGCAAAGAGCATAATCCAGGTGCGTGTCATTGAGAGTTGACTGAAAATCTAACTAGGGTCTTCTTTAAGGCCCACTTTCTGAGTCTTCTCCCCCATTTCTGGGCCCACCTTGTCAGCTCTACTCTGTAGCCACCACTCCTGACCCCAGTCACAACTAAATTATGCATCCTGACCCTCCCTCCCAGCCTTCTCTGCAGCCAGAGGTCACGGGGAGTCTCTGCACCCATTATTACAGCTGCTCGAGAGCCAGCTTCTGCTTAAGCAAGTGCTGCAGGGGTTTGCCAGCAGAGTCACCTTCTGCGGATGGGTTAGCGGCCTTCTAAGAGCCAGCCAGCTGCCTGACAGCCTCAGCCTCCCCCCACGCAGCCCACATCCTGCGGCTGGGTTACAAAGACGGGGAACTTGCTATTTAGAAGGGAGTCAGAAAGAGCTGTCAGCAGGACATAAATATTCATAGAGGGAGGTTAGAACTTGAGTCCCTAAAACCTTGATTTGTGTTCGTCTGTTTAAGCCTCATTAAAAAGTAGTAAATGAAAGTGGGGATATTCAGTGGAACTGCAGAGAAATTGGGCTTGTTCAGATAAAGGCCTCCGACGGCCAGCTCCACAGGCCCTGCCCGGAGCACAGCAGCAGATTGGCTTGGCCACTTGCAGCTTGCCAACCTCAATTTAAAGATTTTGCTTAGCATGAGTTCCTGGTCTTGCTCCGGGCCAGTCAGAGCTTGTTTGGACACCTGATAGCCTTCTAGAAGTGTTTAGGGATGGAAATCCCCAAACTCTTCCTTCCCAGAATGACATGCAAACCACGGCCTGGCCCAAGGGGTGGCAGGGAGAAATCTAAGCAAGGACTAATACTGCACTAGGTGATCCATAAGGGCCACATCTATGTGCATGGCAGTTGCTTCTCCTAACTTCTCCCAGCTGCCTTGGGCACAAGTGGAGGCTTTCAGTGACCATTGCTACATGAGGCCTAAATCCATCCCAGCTCCTGGGCCTCAGCCATGCCCAACCCTACTCCATGGCTACCAAGACTGCAATGGGCCAGGCCTGTGGTCACAAAGGAGACAAATGGCCAACATGCTTCTAGGACAGGAGCTACAAAGTCAGCCCTAGGGGCCAAGCAGGCACATACATGAGTGCAATGGGTCCATCTGGGCCAGACTTGAACCCCAAACTCCAAGTTCACACCCTCTGCCCTTGGGGGTCCCAGCATTTGGGAGGACTGACTATTTTCTGGGGGCAGGAGGCAGTACCCCTCCAGCAGAGGCCTCATGGAGGAGGTAGAGCTTCAGGAATTAAGCTTTGTGTAGGACCCAGCATGGAATTTGGTGTTCTGATTGAGGTTTCTACACCATGGAATGGAAACAGCAAATCTCAGGGTCCTGAGGGGCTGGGCTCTGTGTTGGGGGTGCTGCTATCAAGACCGGGCCTCCAGCTCTGGTTCCACTGACCATCGGCATCAGCCGTGGCTGTTCCTGGAGCCTGGCTCCCCAGAGCTCATCTCCCTATAGCGCCTATTCTAGGATGGCCTTTGGCCTCCCCAGGCACAGGCCCTGTCTCCTGGTTGGGGCTGTTTCCCAGGACAACCATCCCTTTGGTGCCCATTAGCAGAGAAATGACACAATTAACCAGGCAATTAACTCAACGCGATGCAGTCGCTCCCTCCCACAGGACCCTGTTTCCGGAGGCAGAGTTGGCAGCAGGCTGGGCTGCAGGAAAGGGGATAGATGGTGCATCGTCTGTGCCAGGCACTGGGATGAGGGAAATGGCTGACCCAGGATGGGTCCTGGCCAGGGAGAGGGGCAGAAGGCCTAGGGACTTAAGTGCAACTCCGACACTGGCCTGATCACAGGCCTGGGACTTTGATTTGTACTTGCGATCATTGGTCCCGCCTCTTCAGGGGCCACTCTAAAAGGGACTGGAACAGGAAGCAGGGAATTGACTAAGACCGCTAAGAAGGGAGGAGTGTTTCGCTCCGACTCCTCAGAGAATTCTGTTTGGGGGCCCTTTCTCCCATTTGTGAAATAGAGGCCATAGTTGCTATCCTTCCCAGGGACGTGGTGAGAATGAGTTAAGTCAAATGGAAAATTGAGCATTACCGGGCCCTCTGAACCTTCCCATCTAGGCTCCTGTCAGCAGGGCATTGGTTCAAGAAAAGCAAGCAGGTCCCAAGCCCAGAGAGGTGGCCATTTAGACAGACATCTGGGGACAGATGGACACAGATGAGCTTTCAAGGCCAAATGCATGATACCAGGACCCAGGGTTTATTTTATCAAGTGTACATCTCTGAAATTATAACCAAAACAAATAGGAAAACTGGTAACTTTGGCAACCATCCTTTCAGAAACAATTTTGCCCCACAGGTTACAGCTACCTTGATGATGGGCAATTCTTTGCCTCAAGAACCCAATCAGAAAGAAATAGAAGTTTTTGAGCTGCATTTTTTTACACTCAATACTCTGTATTGGTTCTCATGGTAAAATATATATTCTTACAACTTAGACTAGCTTAACATCAGTGGGAAAATACCTCTGGTTCTGCCCCTCAGTTTCTACCACCCACCCCTCACGTGCGTGGGGTGCTTTGGAGAGGGCGAGCCTTCCCAGGGCATCTCGTTTCATTCCAGGACACCCTTGCGTGGCTGGCGTCTGCCATGTTCAGGGCGGCTGTGAGGCCCTGAGCAACACCCCCGGCCATTTCCAGTGGGGCTCAGGCTGTACCGCAGGGAGGCCGAGGACAGCGTAATAGAAATGTTAGGGATGACAGGGCTGCCTCCTCCCCGTCCCAGAACCCTGCCTATTTTGGAAGTTGGAAGGCTCTACTGCCCTCTCCACCGGCTGGTGTGCTGTGTTTCAGATCGATGGGCTGGAGGAGAAGCTGTTGCAATGTCGGAGGGACCTGGAGGCGGTGAACTCCAGGCTCTATGGGGCGGAGCTGAGCCCAGAGGCCAGGTAATGCTCCTGCCCCACCCCCCGCCCTTCTTCAGCCCCTCATATCTAACCTGGGCCCCGCCACCTGCCACAGAGACCTTGGCCCTTGTCCAACTTGCCCTGGAATGCCAGCTGCCCCTTGGGTGGGAAGGAAAAGGCTTGAGCCACAAAACTCCTTCCCCCTCACAGGAAGTCTCTGGAGAAGGAGAAAAACAGCCTGATGAACAAAGCCTCCAACTATGGTAAGAAAGTCCCCTTTCGTTACCAGCCCCACCCTCCCGACCCAGGGTCAGGAGGGACAGACAGCCCAGGGAGCCCATGAGGTGACAGGGATCCAGGGGGCTCTTCAGGGGGGGTCAGCCCCCAGGAGGCTATGGGAACCCACTGTCACCCCAGCAGCCTGGAAGAGCAGGTCTGTTCCTTTGTTCCAAGGGAGAGAGAGAGGCCTGTGGGTCTGTTCTTCCTGGGACGAAGAGATATGACAGTAGCCAGGCCCAGAAAAGATTCTCACATCCACCCAGACTTGGGAGGGCTGTTTTCCCCGTCCCCTCCCCCCCTA